GCACTCTTTTTTTCTCTATATTTTAAAAAAAAACAAAATTCCTAGCCTTTCCGGTGGATCACTAGGCTCGTGGATCGATGAAGAACGCAGCAATCTGCGATAAGTTTTGCGAACTGCAGCAGCCTTGAGCATAAAAGTTTTGAACGCATATTGCCGCATAGGGGTCAAACCCTTTGCTATGTCTGGTTCAGGGTCATTATCTTTCAAAGCGAAAGCTTTATTGTATAATTGCTTTTGTGGCTTCTTTATGTTTTAAATTGATTGTTAGATATGTTTAATTGTTCGCATGTATCATCAACAATATTGATTTTTTGACCTGAACTCAGTCGAGAGCACCCGCTGAACTTAAGCATATCAGTAAGCGGAGGAAAAGAAACTAAACAGGATTCCCCTAGTAACGGCGAGTGAATAGGGAAATGTCCATCGCTAAATCATTTTGCCTAAGGCATTATGAGGTGTAGCGTATAAGCCGTAATTTTTAATCTTTTGTCTCAAATAAGTCCCCTTGACAGGGGTTCCACAGAAGGTGCAAGTCCTGTACATTGAGATAATTGATCGATATTTACGTGCTTTAGAGTCGGGTTGTTTGGGATCGCAGCCCAAAGTCGGTGGTAAACTTCATCTAAGACTCAATATTGCCACGAGACCGATAGCAAACAAGTACTGTGAAGGAAAGTTGCAAAGCACTTTGAAGAGAGAGTTAAAGAGGACGTGAAACCGGAGAGGTGGAAACGGATAGAGTCGGCGTATCTTTCAAGTATTCATTTACATTATTTTTATGTTGTGATCTCTGAGCTCCAGATTGGGACAGAAAGAAGCATCATAATTTTCTGTGATGCATTTGCTTGTTTGGTGCTTGGGGATGTTTGAGGCAGATTTGTAACCGCCGTTTTGAGGCCAGCTTGCTGGTACCCAAACAGCGTTAGCATCTTTTGTCTTGGACATTTGAGTATGGCTTACGGGCATTTATTGGTTCGATCTGATTGTAAGTTACGGTCGCATGCGACACGTGCTTTTCATTTAGATCGGTCCAGTTAATGCTCTCGTACTCGCTCCCCATGTAAAAGCCGGTCATCTATCCGACCCGTCTTGAAACACGGACCAAGGAGTTTATCGTGTGCGCAAGTTTTTGGGTGTTAAAAACCTAAAAGCGAAATGAAAGTAAATGGCTCTTTAGAGTCTGATGTGAGATCTTGTAAAAAAGGGCAGCATGGCCCCATTCTAACTGTTTACAGTAGGGTGGAGGAAGAGCGTACGCGGTGAGACCCGAAAGATGGTGAACTATTCCTGAGCAGGACGAAGCCAGAGGAAACTCTGGTGGAAGTCCGAAGCGGTTCTGACGTGCAAATCGATCGTCTGACTTGGGTATAGGGGCGAAAGACTAATCGAACCATCTAGTAGCTGGTTCCCTCTGAAGTTTCCCCCAGGATAGCTGGAGCTCATTAGAAGTTATACTCGGTAAAGCGAATGATTAGAGGACTTGGGAACGAAATGTTCTTAACCTATTCTCAAACTCTAAATGGGTATGATGTCAAAGTTGCTTGATTTTGAACTTTGGCGTTGAATACGAGTTCCAAGTGGGCCATTTTTGGTAAGCAGAACTGGCGATGTGGGATGAACCAAACGCGGAGTTGAGGTGCCAAAGTGCCCGCTCATTAGACACCATAAAAGGTGTTGGTTGATACAGACAGCAGGACGGTGGCCATGGAAGTCGGAATCCGCTAAGGAGTGTGTAACAACTCACCTGCCGAATCAACTAGCCCTGAAAATGGATGGCGCTGGAGCGGGCCACCTATACTCTGCCGTCATATGCTTGTATTTTCCGTGAAAAGTCTTGCAATGACGTGTAAGAGGGTCGTAGTGGTTGCAATGAAGGCTTTGGGTGTGCACCCAGCTGGAGCTTCCACTAGTGCAGATCTTGGTGGTAGTAGCAAATATTCAAGTGAGATCCTTGAAGACTGAAGTGGAGAAGGGTTCCACGTGAACAGTAGTTGAATGTGGGTCAGTCGATCCTAAGGCACCGGCTAAAGCCGTCTAGACACTGCGGGGAGATGAGATACTTAACGGTATATTGTCTACTCGGTTGCCGAAAGGGAAGTGGGTTAATATTCCCACACCAGGCATGGGAGATGGTGATCCGCAAGGATTACTTTGCGCGGTGACGCAAACGAACTCGTAGACCTCGTGTGGAGTCCGGGCCAGAGTTCTCTTTTCTGGTTTAGAGATCATGTCCCTGGAAGTGGCTCAGCCTGAGATAGGGATGCTGGTCTCGTAAAGCGCAGCGGTTCCTGTTGTGTCCCGTGTGCTCCACATGAGCCGTGAAAATACGAGGGAGGCAATTTAAAATCTCCTGCCTGATCGTACCCATATCCGCAGCAGGTCTCCAAGGTGAACAGCCTCTAGTCGATAGAATAATGTAGGTAAGGGAAGTCGGCAAATTAGATTCGTAACTTCGGGAAAAGAATTGGCTCTAAAGGTTGGGTCAGTCGGGCTGTTGTGTGAAACAGGTGGACTTTGCTCGTGGCTGCTTGATCTTCCCTTCGGGGCGGCGCTTGTGGACTAGTAGTGAGGACTGCTTGTGGAGCGCTTCAGCTGCGTACTATTTCGAAAGAGCTGTGGAGCGCTTCAGCTGCGTACTATTTGCCTCAGGCAAAGTAGACCAAAGTGCAATTGACCAAGTGTCGTAGGGTTCAGGCAATAGGGTTCCCCCAGGCAATCAAATTTCACCAGGCATTTTTGGTTTATGAGTCTGTGACGATCCGATTAAAAATTGCCTCAGGCAAAGTAGACCAAAGTGCAATTGACCAAGTGTCGTAGGGTTCAGGCAATAGGGTTCCCCCAGGCAATCAAATTTCACCAGGCATTTTTGGTTTATGAGTCTGTGACGATCCGATTAAAAATTGCCTCAGGCAAAGTAGACCAAAGTGCAATTGACCAAGTGTCGTAGGGTTCAGGCAATAGGGTTCCCCCAGGCAATCAAATTTCACCAGGCATTTTTGGTTTATGAGTCTGTGACGATCCGATTAAAAATTGCCTCAGGCAAAGTAGACCAAAGTGCAATTGACCAAGTGTCGTAGGGTTCAGGCAATAGGGTTCCCCCAGGCAATCAAATTTCACCAGGCATTTTTGGTTTATGAGTCTGTGACGATCCGATTAAAAATTGCCTCAGGCAAAGTAGACCAAAGTGCAATTGACCAAGTGTCGTAGGGTTCAGGCAATAGGGTTCCCCCAGGCAATCAAATTTCACCAGGCATTTTTGGTTTATGAGTCTGTGACGATCCGATTAAAAATTGCCTCAGGCAAAGTAGCAAAGTGCAATTGACCAAGTGTCGTAGGGTTCAGGCAATAGGGTTCCCCCAGGCAATCAAATTTCACCAGGCATTTTTGGTTTATGAGTCTGTGACGATCCGATTAAAAATTGCCTCAGGCAAAGTAGACCAAAGTGCAATTGACCAAGTGTCGTAGGGTAATAGGGTTCCCCCAGGCAATCAAATTTCACCAGGCATTTTTGGTTTATGAGTCTGTGACGATCCGATTAAAAATTGCCTCAGGCAAAGTAGACCAAAGTGCAATTGACCAAGTGTCGTAGGGTAATAGGGTTCCCCCAGGCAATCAAATTTCACCAGGCATTTTTGGTTTATGAGTCTGTGACGATCCGATTAAAAATTGCCTCAGGCAAAGTAGACCAAAGTGCAATTGACCTCAGGCAAAGTAGACCAAAGTGCAATTGACCAAGTGTCGTAGGGTAATAGGGTTCCCCCAGGCAATCAAATTTCACCAGGCATTTTTGGTTTATGAGTCTGTGACGATCCGATTAAAAATTGCCTCAGGCAAAGTAGACCAAAGTGCAATTGACCAAGTGTCGTAGGGTAATAGGGTTCCCCCAGGCAATCAAATTTCACCAGGCATTTTTGGTTTATGAGTCTGTGACGATCCGATTAAAAATTGCCTCAGGCAAAGTAGACCAAAGTGCAATTGACCAAGTGTCGTAGGGTAATAGGGTTCCCCCAGGCAATAATTATCTACTCAAGTATACTCAAGTAAAAATCATTTACTCAAGTATAAAATCATTTACTCAATTATACTCAAGTAAAAGGTATGTATATAATATAGGGTTCCCCCAGGCAATCATTATCTACTCAATTATACTCAAGTAAAAGGTATGTACATGATAAACTACAATTTATAAAAAACTTAAATAATTTTTTCTATAGACTCAAGTGTGTTTTCTTAGACTCAAATTTTTGCCAAAGCATTAAAAAAAGATTACGACACCCCCGATTCCCAGGACGTCTCCGTTCCAAGTACTAAGGAAGCCCAGCGTTGCTTAACTTGCCAGATCGGACGGGATGGCGTGCTTTCAACGCGGTATGGTCGTAATCACTGTGTTTTCAATTTCTCAATATTTAAGAAAAAATTCTCTAAGGCAAAGTGGGCGGGGCTATTTGTTGTTCGCTGTTCGCGGGAATGGTTTAAGGCAAAGAGAAAACGGGCAATTATAAAAATGTGTGGGAGAAAAATTAGGATTAAAAAAATTTTTTTGAAGAATTAAATTTTTCAAAAAAAATAAAGCTTATAATAATAAACTTTAATCTTTTTTTAAATTTAAAGTTTATTATTATAAGCTTTATTTTTTTAAAAAATTTAATGTTATTATTATTTTAAGCTTTATTATCAGATATTTTAAAGCAGCTTTATTCTAAATCTGATAATAATCATAAGCTTTATAATCCTAATTTTTCTCCAGCTGCAATATTTATTTGGCTCCAGACAATTGTCAGGAATTGCCATTGATAACTTTTGTGAAAGTGCCGCTGATAAATTGTAAATAATTTAGATATCTTTTGCAAAGGAAATTAAATATATAATAAGCTGTCATTAATTTTTTAATTTCAGATTATTTTCGAGATTTTATTCTAAAATTATCAATATAATCAATATTAATGACAGCTTAATTACCCGCAGACTGGGTAATTCCAGCTCTGCTAACTACCTAAATAAAAGATATCTGGTTGATCCTGCCTGAACTGATGTGTTCATTTCAAAGATTAAGCCATGCATGTATAAGTTTAATCGTTTTAACGAGAAACCGCGAACGGCTCATTACAATGGCCATGATTTACTTGATCTTGATTATCTAAATGGATAACTGTGGAAAAGCTAGAGCTAATACATGCACCAGAGCTTTGTCCTCTCGGAAAAGCGCATTTATTAGAACAAAACCACGCGGCTTCGGCTGCTTCTTGTTGACTCAGAATAACTAAGCTGACCGCATGGCCTTGTGCCGGCGGCGTGTCTTTCAAGCGTCCACTTTATCAACTTGACGGGAGCATAATCGACTCCCGTGGTGGTGACGGATAACGGAGGATCAGGGTTCGACTCCGGAGAAGGGGCCTGAGAAATGGCCACTACGTCTAAGGATGGCAGCAGGCGCGCAAATTACCCACTCTCGGCTCGAGGAGGTAGTGACGAGAAATAACGAAACTGTTCTCTTTGAGGCCGGTCATCGGAATGGGTACAATTTAAACCCTTTAACGAGTATCAAGCAGAGGGCAAGTCTGGTGCCAGCAGCCGCGGTAATTCCAGCTCTGCTAATACATAGAATTATTGCTGCGGTTAAAAAGCTCGTAGTTGGATTCGTATCGGTACCTTGGAACCCTTCGGGTGTTTCTGGGTGTTATCGATTTATCGTAATGTTCGGTTTTGAGTCCTTAACAGGATTTTTAACAGTCATTGCAAGTTTACTTTGAACAAATCAGAGTGCTTCAAACAGGCGTTTTCGCTTGAATGATCGTGCATGGAATAATAGAAAACGATTTCGGTTCAGTTTTATTGGTTTTACGGACTGAGATAATGGTTAACAGAGACAAACGGGGGCATTTGTATGGCCCCGTGAGAGGTGAAATTCTTGGACCGTGGCCAGACAAACTACAGCGAAAGCATTTGCCAAGAATGTCTTCATTAATCAAGAACGAAAGTCAGAGGTTCGAAGGCGATCAGATACCGCCCTAGTTCTGACCGTAAACGATGCCAACTAGCGATCCGCTGATGGAAATTATATTGCCTTGGTGGGGAGCTTCCCGGAAACGAAAGTCTTCCGGTTCCGGGGGAAGTATGGTTGCAAAGCTGAAACTTAAAGGAATTGACGGAAGGGCACCACCAGGAGTGGAGCCTGCGGCTTAATTTGACTCAACACGGGGAAACTCACCCGGCCCGGACACTGTGAGGATTGACAGATTGATAGCTTTTTCATGATTCAGTGGATGGTGGTGCATGGCCGTTCTTAGTTCGTGGAGTGATTTGTCTGGTTTATTCCGATAACGAGCGAGACTCTAACCTACTAAATAGTTGGTACATACTCTTTGTGTATACAGCTTCTTAGAGGGATTTGCGGCGTTCAGCCGAAAGAAATTGAGCAATAACAGGTCTGTGATGCCCTTAGATGTCCGGGGCTGCACGCGCGCTACACTGGCAAAATCAACGTGCTTGTCCTACCCTGAAAGGGGCGGGTAAACCATTGAAAATTTGCCGTGATTGGGATCGGAAATTGCAATTATTTTCCGTGAACGAGGAATTCCAAGTAAGTGCGAGTCATCAGCTCGCGTTGATTACGTCCCTGCCCTTTGTACACACCGCCCGTCGCTGCCCGGGACTGAGCCATTTCGAGAAATTTGGGGACCGTTGATTTAATTTATCTAAATTATTTTGATGGAAACCAATTTAATCGCAGTGGCTTCAACCGGGCAAAAGTCGTAACAAGGTAGCTGTAGGTGAACCTGCTGCTGGATCATTACTTTATGTGATGTTCAATTTTGAATCGCAATGAAATAATTGTTGTGTAACGGCTGTCGCTGGTGTCTAGGTGTTGCTGATACAGTTGTGAACGTCCGTGGCTGTATATGTGGTGACATGTTAGGACTATAATGAGTTTAAGACTTAATGAGCCTCTTAAGTGAGGACGCCAGCACTCTTTTTTTATATTTTAAAAAAAACAAAATTCCTAGCCTTTCCGGTGGATCACTAGGCTCGTGGATGTGCCCGCCAAAGTGCCCGCTCATTAGACACCATAAAAGGTGTTGGTTGATACAGACAGCAGGACGGTGGCCATGGAAGTCGGAATCCGCTAAGGAGTGTGTAACAACTCACCTGCCGAATCAACTAGCCCTGAAAATGGATGGCGCTGGAGCGGGCCACCTATACTCTGCCGTCATATGCTTGTATTTTCCGTGAAAAGTCTTGCAATGACGTGTAAGAGGGTCGTAGTGGTTGCAATGAAGGCTTTGGGTGTGCACCCAGCTGGAGCTTCCACTAGTGCAGATCTTGGTGGTAGTAGCAAATATTCAAGTGAGATCCTTGAAGACTGAAGTGGAGAAGGGTTCCACGTGAACAGTAGTTGAATGTGGGTCAGTCGATCCTAAGGCACCGGCTAAAGCCGTCTAGACACTGCGGGGAGATGAGATACTTAACGGTATATTGTCTACTCGGTTGCCGAAAGGGAAGTGGGTTAATATTCCCACACCAGGCATGGGAGATGGTGATCCGCAAGGATTACTTTGCGCGGTGACGCAAACGAACTCGTAGACCTCGTGTGGAGTCCGGGCCAGAGTTCTCTTTTCTGGTTTAGAGATCATGTCCCTGGAAGTGGCTCAGCCTGAGATAGGGATGCTGGTCTCGTAAAGCGCAGCGGTTCCTGTTGTGTCCCGTGTGCTCCACATGAGCCGTGAAAATACGAGGGAGGCAATTTAAAATCTCCAGCCTGATCGTACCCATATCCGCAGCAGGTCTCCAAGGTGAACAGCCTCTAGTCGATAGAATAATGTAGGTAAGGGAAGTCGGCAAATTAGATTCGTAACTTCGGGAAAAGAATTGGCTCTAAAGGTTGGGTCAGTCGGGCTGTTGTGTGAAACAGGTGGACTTTGCTCGTGGCTGCTTGATCTTCCCTTCGGGGCGGCGCTTGTGGACTAGTAGTGAGGACTGCTTGTGGAGCGCTTCAGCTGCGTACTATTTCGAAAGATATAGTACTTCGATTGGCGCTGAACAACCAGTTTAGAACTGGCACGAACTCCGGGAATCCGACTGTCTAATTAAAACAGAGGAGACGGATGGTCTTTGCAGGACGTTGACCGTGTCTGATTTCTGCCCAGTGCTCTGAATGTTAAGCCAAGGAAACTTGATTAAGCGCGGGTAAACGGCGGGAGTAACTATGACTCTCTTAAGGTAGCCAAATGCCTCGTCGGCTAACTACCGACGCGCACGAATGGATCAACGAGATTCCCACTGTCCCTATCTACTATCTAGCGAAACCACAGCCAAGGGAACGGGCTTGGCAAATTTAGCGGGGAAAGAAGACCCTGTTGAGCTTGACTCTAGTCTGACTTTGTGAAGAGGCAATCAAATTTCCCCCAGGCAATCAATTCCCCCAGGCAATCAAATTTCACCAGGCATTTTTTATCTAAATTATTTTGATGGAAACCAATTTAATCGCAGTGGCTTGAACCGGGCAAAAGTCGTAACAAGGTAGCTGTAGGTGAACCTGCTGCTGGATCATTACTTTATGTGATGTTCAATTTTGAATCGCAATGAAATAATTGTTGTGTAACGGCTGTCGCTGGTGTCTAGGTGTTGCTGATACAGTTGTGAACGTCCGTGGCTGTATATGTGGTGACATGTTAGGACTATAATGAGTTTAAGACTTAATGAGCCTCTTAAGTGAGGACGCCAGCACTCTTTTTTTATATTTTAAAAAAAACAAAATTCCTAGCCTTTCCGGTGGATCACTAGGCTCGTGGATCGATGAAGAACGCAGCAAACTGCGATAAGTTTTGCGAACTGCAGCAGCCTTGAGCATAAAAGTTTTGAACGCATATTGCCGCATAGGGGTCAAACCCTTTGCTATGTCTGGTTCAGGGTCATTATCTTTCAAAGCGAAAGCTTTATTGTATAATTGCTTTTGTGGCTTCTTTATGTTTTAAATTGATTGTTAGATATGTTTAATTGTTCGCATGTATCATCAACAATATTGATTTTTTGACCTGAACTCAGTCGAGAGCACCCGCTGAACTTAAGCATATCAGTAAGCGGAGGAAAAGAAACTAAACAGGATTCCCCTAGTAACGGCGATTGAATAGGGAAATGTCCATCGCTAAATCATTTTGCCTAAGGCATTATGAGGTGTAGCGTATAAGCCGTAATTTTTAATCTTTTGTCTCAAATAAGTCCCCTTGACAGGGGTTCCACAGAAGGTGCAAGTCCTGTACATTGAGATAATTGATCGATATTTACGTGCTTTAGAGTCGGGTTGTTTGGGATCGCAGCCCAAAGTCGGTGGTAAACTTCATCTAAGACTCAATATTGCCACGAGACCGATAGCAAACAAGTACTGTGAAGGAAAGTTGCAAAGCACTTTGAAGAGAGAGTTAAAGAGGACGTGAAACCGGAGAGGTGGAAACGGATAGAGTCGGCGTATCTTTCAAGTATTCATTTACATTATTTTTATGTTGTGATCTCTGAGCTCCAGATTGGGACAGAAAGAAGCATCATAATTTTCTGTGATGCATTTGCTTGTTTGGTGCTTGGGGATGTTTGAGGCAGATTTGTAACCGCCGTTTTGAGGCCAGCTTGCTGGTACCCAAACAGCGTTAGCATCTTTTGTCTTGGACATTTGAGTATGGTTTACGGGCATTTATTGGTTCGATCTGATTGTAAGTTACGGTCGCATGCGACACGTGCTTTTCATTTAGATCGGTCCAGTTAATGCTCTCGTACTCGCTCCCCATGTAAAAGCCGGTCATCTATCCGACCCGTCTTGAAACACTGACCAAGGAGTTTATCGTGTGCGCAAGTTTTTGGGTGTTAAAAACCTAAAAGCGAAATGAAAGTAAATGGCTCTTTAGAGTCTGACGTGCGATCTTGTAAAAAAGGGCAGCATGGCCCCATTCTAACTGTTTACAGTAGGGTGGAGGAAGAGCGTACGCGGTGAGACCCGAAAGATGGTGAACTATTCCTGAGCAGGACGAAGCCAGAGGAAACTCTGGTGGAAGTCCGAAGCGGTTCTGACGTGCAAATCGATCGTCTGACTTGGGTATAGGGGCGAAAGACTAATCGAACCATCTAGTAGCTGGTTCCCTCTGAAGTTTCCCCCAGGATAGCTGGAGCTCATTAGTAGTTATACTCGGTAAAGCGAATGATTAGAGGACTTGGGAACGAAATGTTCTTAACCTATTCTCAAACTCTAAATGGGTATGATGTCAAAGTTGCTTGATTTTGAACTTTGGCGTTGAATACGAGTTCCAAGTGGGCCATTTTTGGTAAGCAGAACTGGCGATGTGGGATGAACCAAACGCGGAGTTGAGGTGCCAAAGTGCCCGCTCATTAGACACCATAAAAGGTGTTGGTTGATACAGACAGCAGGACGGTGGCCATGGAAGTCGGAATCCGCTAAGGAGTGTGTAACAACTCACCTGCCGAATCAACTAACCCTGAAAATGGATGGCGCTGGAGCGGGCCACCTATACTCTGCCGTCATATGCTTGTATTTTCCGTGAAAAGTCTTGCAATGACGTGTAAGAGGGTCGTAGTGGTTGCAATGAAGGCTTTGGGTGTGCACCCAGCTGGAGCTTCCACTAGTGCAGATCTTGGTGGTAGTAGCAAATATTCAAGTGAGATCCTTGAAGACTGAAGTGGAGAAGGGTTCCACGTGAACAGTAGTTGAATGTGGGTCAGTCGATCCTAAGGCACCGGCTAAAGCCGTCTAGACACTGCGGGGAGATGAGATACTTAACGGTATATTGTCTACTCGGTTGCCGAAAGGGAAGTGGGTTAATATTCCCACACCAGGCATGGGAGATGGTGATCCGCAAGGATTACTTTGCGCGGTGACGCAAACGAACTCGTAGACCTCGTGTGGAGTCCGGGCCAGAGTTCTCTTTTCTGGTTTAGAGATCATGTCCCTGGAAGTGGCTCAGCCTGAGATAGGGATGCTGGTCTCGTAAAGCGCAGCGGTTCCTGTTGTGTCCCGTGTGCTCCACATGAGCCGTGAAAATACGAGGGAGGCAATTTAAAATCTCCAGCCTGATCGTACCCATATCCGCAGCAGGTCTCCAAGGTGAACAGCCTCTAGTCGATAGAATAATGTAGGTAAGGGAAGTCGGCAAATTAGATTCGTAACTTCGGGAAAAGAATTGGCTCTAAAGGTTGGGTCAGTCGGGCTGTTGTGTGAAACAGGTGGACTTTGCTCGTGGCTGCTTGATCTTCCCTTCGGGGCGGCGCTTGTGGACTAGTAGTGAGGACTGCTTGTGGAGCGCTTCAGCTGCGTACTATTTCGCAAGATATAGTACTTCGATTGGCGCTGAACAACCAGTTTAGAACTGGCACGAACTCCGGGAATCCGACTGTCTAATTAAAACAGAGGAGACGGATGGTCTTTGCAGGACGTTGACCGTGTCTGATTTCTGCCCAGTGCTCTGAATGTTAAGCCAAGGAAACTTGATTAAGCGCGGGTAAACGGCGGGAGTAACTATGACTCTCTTAAGGTAGCCAAATGCCTCGTCGGCTAACTACCGACGCGCACGGGTTTGAGCGAGATTGCCCCCCAATGGACAAGCCTGGGAACGGCCTAGCATCCACAATATAACCATTGATGGTAGCCGGGTTGCTAAAATCTCGTTGGTAAGGGGCTATTTGTGTATGTCCTAACACAATTTCCCAGCCCCCGAGGCATGCCGTAAAAGCCCTCGGTTGACCGTCAGTTATTTAAGTATTCTGACGAGAAAGGGAAAATCTGCCGATTCATCGATTGGCTCAGACTTAAGCTTTTTCATTTGTATGCTTTTTCTTCCTCTAAATTTTTCTTTTTGCAGAACTAATCGAAATGTTTAAATTCACATTGGAGGCTAGTTCTCCTGAAGAATTGAAAAAATTGGTGGATTTTTGGGCTCAGGCCCATCCTTGTAAGTATTTTGTCAGAAAAAGCAAGTATCCAATCCTTTTTTTTCAGCTATTTTGAGTGGTGGTGGAGGTGCTGCTGCTGCAAACAGCAACAACAAAACCATTACAAAAAATAAGAGGAAGAAGAAGTGGAAGAAGAAAAACAAAAAGAAATTGACATTGGAGGAGGGGAAGGAGAAGGAGAAAGAAAAAGAGGAGGTGGAGGTGCTGCAATTATTTTGAGTGGTGGTGGTGCAATTGACCAAGTGTCGTAGGGTTCAGGCAATAGGGTTCCCCCAGGCAATCAAATTTCACCAGGCATTTTTGGTTTATGAGTCTGTGACGATCCGATTAAAAATTGCCTCAGGCAAAGTAGCAAAGTGCAATTGACCAAGTGTCGTAGGGTTCAGGCAATAGGGTTCCCCCAGGCAATCAAATTTCACCAGGCATTTTTGGTTTATGAGTCTGTGACGATCCGATTAAAAATTGCCTCAGGCAAAGTAGACCAAAGTGCAATTGACCAAGTGTCGTAGGGTTCAGGCAATAGGGTTCCCCCAGGCAATCAAATTTCACCAGGCATTTTTGGTTTATGAGTCTGTGACGATCCGATTAAAAATTGCCTCAGGCAAAGTAGACCAAAGTGCAATTGAAAGTAGACCAAAGTGCATTAAAAAAAGATTACGACACCCCCGATTCCCAGGACGTCTCCGTTCCAAGTACTAAGGAAGCCCAGCGTTGCTTAACTTGCCAGATCGGACGGGATGGCGTGCTTTCAACGCGGTAAATTGCCTCAGGCAAAGTAGACCAAAGTGCAATTGACCAAGTGTCGTAGGGTTCAGGCAATAGGGTTCCCCCAGGCAATCAAATTTCACCAGGCATTTTTGGTTTATGAGTCTGTGACGATCCGATTAAAAATCCCCCCCCAGTCAATCAAATTTACCCAAGGCAATCAAATAATCGACTCAAGTAAAATATATACTCAAGTAAAGGTATGTATATATAAACTACAATTTATAAAAAAGTTAAATAATTGTTTTCTATAGACTCAAGTGTGTTTTCTTAGACTCAAGTTTTTGCCAAAGCATTAAAAAAAGATTACGACACCCCCGATTCCCAGGACGTCTCCGTTCCAAGTACTAAGGAAGCCCAGCGTTGCTTAACTTGCCAGATCGGACGGGATGGCGTGCTTTCAACGCGGTATGGTCGTAATCACTGTGTTTTCAATTTCTCAATATTTAAGAAAAAATTCTCTAAGGCAAAGTGGGCGGGGCTATTTGTTGTTCGTTGTTCGCGGGAATGGTTTAAGGCAAAAAGAAAATGGGCAATTATAAAAATGTGTGGGAGGAAAATTAGGATTAAAAAAATTTTTTTGAAGAATTAAATTTTTTAAAAAAAATAAAGCTTATAATAATAAACTTTAATCTTTTTTTAAATTTAAAGTTTATTATTATAAGCTTTATTTTTTTAAAAAATTTACTGTTATTATTATATTAAGCTTTATTATCAGTTTATTTTAAAGCAGCTTTATTCTAAATCTGATAATAATCATAAGCTTTATAATCCTAATTTTTCTCCAGCTGCAATATTTATTTGGCTCCAGACAATTGTCAGGAATTGCCATTGATAACTTTTGTGAAAGTGCCGCTGATAAATTGTAAATAATTTAGATATCTTTTGCAAAGGAAATTAAATATATAATAAGCTGTCATTAATTTTTAATTTCAGATTATTTTCGAGATTTTATTCCAAAATTATCAATTTTGGATAGGGGTCAAACCCTTTGCATAGGGGTCAAACCCTTTGCTATGTCTGGTTCAGGGTCATTTTCTTTCAAAGCGAAAGCTTTATTGTATAATTGCTTTTGTGGCTTCTTTATGTTTTAAATTGATTGTTAGATATGTTTAATTGTTCGCATGTATCATCAACAATATTAATTTTTTGACCTGAACTCAGTCGAGAGCACCCGCTGAACTTAAGCATATCAGTAAGCGGAGGAAAAGAAACTAAACAGGATTCCCCCAGTAACGGCGAGTGAATAGGGAAATGTCCATCGCTAAATCATTTTGCCTAAGGCATTATGAGGTGTAGCGTATAAGCCGTAATTTTTAATCTTTTGTCTCAAATAAGTCCCCTTGACAGGGGTTCCACAGAAGGTGCAAGTCCTGTACATTGAGATAATTGATCGATATTTACGTGCTTTAGAGTCGGGTTGTTTGGGATCGCAGCCCAAAGTCGGTGGTAAACTTCATCTAAGACTCAATATTGCCACGAGACCGATAGCAAACAAGTACTGTGAAGGAAAGTTGCAAAGCACTTTGAAGAGAGAGTTAAAGAGGACGTGAAACCGGAGAGGTGGAAACGGATAGAGTCGGCGTATCTTTCAAGTATTCATTTACATTATTTTTATGTTGTGATCTCTGAGCTCCAGATTGGGACAGAAAGAAGCATCATAATTTTCTGTGATGCATTTGCTTGTTTGGTGCTTGGGGATGTTTGAGGCAGATTTGTAACCGCCGTTTTGAGGCCAGCTTGCTGGTACCCAAACAGCGTTAGCATCTTTTGTCTTGGACATTTGAGTATGGCTTACGGGCATTTATTGGTTCGATCTGATTGTAAGTTACGGTCGCATGCGACACGTGCTTTTCATTTAGATCGGTCCAGTTAATGCTCTCGTACTCGCTCCCCATGTAAAAGCCGGTCATCTATCCGACCCGTCTTGAAACACGGACCAAGGAGTTTATCGTGTGCGCAAGTTTTTGGGTGTTAAAAACCTAAAAGCGAAATGAAAGTAAATGGCTCTTTAGAGTCTGATGTGAGATCTTGTAAAAAAGGGCAGCATGGCCCCATTCTAACTGTTTACAGTAGGGTGGAGGAAGAGCGTACGCGGTGAGACCCGAAAGATGGTGAACTATTCCTGAGCAGGACGAAGCCAGAGGAAACTCTGGTGGAAGTCCGAAGCGGTTCTGACGTGCAAATCGATCGTCTGACTTGGGTATAGGGGCGAAAGACTAATCGAACCATCTAGTAGCTGGTTCCCTCTGAAGTTTCCCCCAGGATAGCTGGAGCTCATTAGAAGTTATACTCGGTAAAGCGAATGATTAGAGGACTTGGGAACGAAATGTTCTTAACCTATTCTCAAACTCTAAATGGGTATGATGTCAAAGTTGCTTGATTTTGAACTTTGGCGTTGAATACGAGTTCCAAGTGGGCCATTTTTGGTAAGCAGAACTGGCGATGTGGGATGAACCAAACGCGGAGTTGAGGTGCCAAAGTGCCCGCTCATTAGACACCATAAAAGGTGTTGGTTGATACAGACAGCAGGACGGTGGCCATGGAAGTCGGAATCCGCTAAGGAGTGTGTAACAACTCACCTGCCGAATCAACTAGCCCTGAAAATGGATGGCGCTGGAGCGGGCCACCTATACTCTGCCATCATATGCTTGTATTTTCCGTGAAAAGTCTTGCAATGACGTGTAAGAGGGTCGTAGTGGTTGCAATGAAGGCTTTGGGTGTGCACCCAGCTGGAGCTTCCACTAGTGCAGATCTTGGTGGTAGTAGCAAATATTCAAGTGAGATCCTTGAAGACTGAAGTGGAGAAGGGTTCCACGTGAACAGTAGTTGAATGTGGGTCAGTCGATCCTAAGGCACCGGCTAAAGCCGTCTAGACACTGCGGGGAGATGAGATACTTAACGGTATATTGTCTACTCGGTTGCCGAAAGGGAAGTGGGTTAATATTCCCACACCAGGCATGGGAGATGGTGATCCGCAAGGATTACTTTGCGCGGTGACGCAAACGAACTCGTAGACCTCGTGTGGAGTCCGGGCCAGAGTTCTCTTTTCTGGTTTAGAGATCATGTCCCTGGAAGTGGCTCAGCCTGAAATAGGGATGCTGGTCTCGTAAAGCGCAGCGGTTCCTGTTGTGTCCCGTGTGCTCCACATGAGCCGTGAAAATACGAGGGAGGCAATTTAAAATCTCCTGCCTGATCGTACCCATATCCGCAGCAGGTCTCCAAGGTGAACAGCCTCTAGTCGATAGAATAATGTAGGTAAGGGAAGTCGGCAAATTAGATTCGTAACTTCGGGAAAAGAATTGGCTTTATGAGTCTGTGACGATCCGATTAAAAATTGCCTCAGGCAAAGTAGACCAAAGTGCAATTGAAAGTAGACCAAAGTGCATTAAAAAAAGATTACGACACCCCCGATTCCCAGGACGTCTCCGTTCCAAGTACTAAGGAAGCCCAGCGTTGCTTAACTTGCCAGATCGGACGGGATGGCGTGCTTTCAACGCGGTAAATTGCCTCAGGCAAAGTAGACCAAAGTGCAATTGACCAAGTGTCGTAGGGTTCAGGCAATAGGGTTCCCCCAGGCAATCAAATTTCACCAGGCATTTTTGGTTTATGAGTCTGTGACGATCCGATTAAAAATCCCCCCCCCAGTCAATCAAATTTACCCAAGGCAATCAAATAATCGACTCAAGTAAAATATATACTCAAGTAAAGGTATGTATATATAAACTACAATTTATAAAAAAGTTAAATAATTGTTTTCTATAGACTCAAGTGTGTTTTCTTAGACTCAAGTTTTTGCCAAAGCATTAAAAAAAGATTACGACACCCCCGATTCCCAGGACGTCTCCGTTCCAAGTACTAAGGAAGCCCAGCGTTGCTTAACTTGCCAGATCGGACGGGATGGCGTGCTTTCAACGCGGTATGGTCGTAATCACTGTGTTTTCAATTTCTCAATATTTAAGAAAAAATTCTCTAAGGCAAAGTGGGCGGGGCTATTTGTTGTTCGCTGTTCGCGGGAATGGTTTAAGGCAAAAAGAAAATGGGCAATTATAAAAATGTGTGGGAGGAAAATTAGGATTAAAAAAATTTTTTTGAAGAATTAAATTTTTTAAAAAAAATAAAGCTTATAATAATAAACTTTAATCTTTTTTTAAATTTAAAGTTTATTATTATAAGCTTTATTTTTTTAAAAAATTTACTGTTATTATTATATTAAGCTTTATTATCAGTTTATTTTAAAGCAGCTTTATTCTAAATCTGATAATAATCATAAGCTTTATAATCCTAATTTTTCTCCAGCTGCAATATTTATTTGGCTCCAGACAATTGTCAGGAATTGCCATTGATAACTTTTGTGAAAGTGCCGCTGATAAATTGTAAATAATTTAGATATCTTTTGCAAAGGAAATTAAATATATAATAAGCTGTCATTAATTTTTAATTTCAGATTATTTTCGAGATTTTATTCCAAAATTATCAATATAATCAATATTAATGACAGCTTAATTACCCGCAGACTGGGTAATTCCAGCTCTGCTAACTACCTAAATAAAAGATATCTGGTTGATCCTGCCTGAACTGATGTGTTCATTTCAAAGATTAAGCCATGCATGTATAAGTTTAATCGTTTTAACGAGAAACCGCGAACGGCTCATTACAATGGCCATGATTTACTTGATCTTGATTATCTAAATGGATAACTGTGGAAAAGCTAGAGCTAATACATGCACCAAAGCTTTGTCCTCACGGAAAAGCGCATTTATTAGAACAAAACCACGCGGCTTCGGCTGCTTCT